TGTTTCATTGTTATTCTTTGATATAAGGAAAGCCCAGTGGGTCTGTATTGGTGAAGGAATGTATCTGGAAATGACTGTGTTATAAAAACAAAAAGCATCAGGAGCTCTAAAAAGAAAAAAAAAACCATCCATTGTATATAAAAAACATACCTTTAAATTAAATGAATTAATAGAATTAAAATGAGCAGTTTGATCAAAATTCAAGGAATTTTGTGTCAGGAATTTATAAGAAACTAGAAAGGTATAATCATGATTTCTGACAGGGCAGGAATAAATAGTTGTCCTTAGGATTCAATTTGCCAGGCACAGTGAAATAGTATCACTATTCAACACAATGGTAATAAAAATTCTTTCACTATTAAACACATATGTACCAAATAGCCTAACTTCTAAATTCATAAAAACTAACCACATTGCAAAAAGACACAGAGCTAGATATATTTAACATAAAGTTAAACAAAAAGAGAACCAGAGAGCTGAACGAAATGTTGGAAAAATTGGACATAAAAAGTTTTATCTTCTGAATAGGAATGGGATATACCCCGCCATGATACCTTTACAAAAAAATGTGCTAGAGCAACAGAGAAGAGCAGGTAGGTGCTGCAGTGGATTGAGTGCCAGGCTTCAAGTCAGGAAGACCTGAGTTCAAATTTTTTTTTTTGGGGGGGGGCAATTGGGGTTAAGTGAGTTGCCCAGGGTCACACAGCTAGTACGTGTCAAGTGTTTGGTCAGAGGCCGGATTTGAACTCAGGTCCTCCTGACTTCAAGGCCGGTGCTGTATCCACCGTGCCACCTAGCTGCCCCCTGAGTTCAAATTTGACCTCAGGTATCTACTACCTGTGTGATCCTTGGGCAAGTCACTTAACCCTGTTTGCCTCAGTTTCCTCTTCTGTACAGTGAGCTGGAGAAGGAAATGGCAAACCCCTCCAGTATCTTTGCTTAAGAAAATCCTAAATGTGGTTACGAAAAATCAGACACGACTGAAACAACTGAACAACGGAGCACAGAGAAAAAATAAATGTAAAAAGGCAGAAGTGTTGAACACATCCTTTGTGGACCATAAATAAATAAAATTGGTGATTAACATAGGCAACACATGTAAAAAATACTGATCTAGATGGGCACTATCTATACCCTTCATTTCTTCTTTTGGAAATTGTTAAAACTCCTTGGTACTGACTAAACGATAGAATGGTGGATCAGTGGAATAGGTTAGGTATTTGAGACACAACAGTCTATGAATATATTAATCTGCTATTTGATAAATCCAAAGACTGCAGCTTCTGGGATAAGAAATCACTATTTAACAAAAACTTCTGGGAAAACTGGAAAATAGTATGGTAGAAATTGGGCGTAGACCAACATCTTACACCCTATACCAAGATAAAGTCAAAATGGGTACAGGATTTAGATATCAAGGCTGATACTATAAGCAAACTAAGAGAGCAAGGAAAGTTTACCTTTTCAGATCTATGGAGAAGGGAAGAATTTATGACCAAACAAGAGATAGAGAACATTTTGAAGTGCAAAATGGATAATTTTGATTCCATAAAATTGAAAAATTTTTGCACAAAGCCAATGCATCCAAGATTAGGAGGGAAACAGAAAACTGGGAAAGAATTTTTATTACCGTGTCTCTGATAGAAGGCCTCATTTCTAAAATATATAGAGAATTGAGTCAAATTTATAAGAATACAAATCATTCCCCAGTTGATAAGTGGTCAGAGGATATGAATAGGCAGTTTTCAGTGGAATATCCTTTCATTGTTTATGTATTGGGAAATAGCTCCTAGTTTAAGATATTTATATGAATTCTGTATCTTAGGTATCAAACTTGTCAGATGTTTAATGCATAAGGTTTTTTGTTTGTTTGTTTTTTGTTTTCCTACTCACCAGCTTCTCTTATTCTGGTCACATTGATTTTGTTGGTGCAAAAACTTGAATTTTATATAATTGAATTTGTCCGTTTTATTTTTTGTGATTTCCATCATCCCTTGTTTGGTTTTGAATTCTCACTCTAACAATTGTTTGAAAGATACCTCCTTTTTTCCTGTAATTGTTTTATTATATTTTGTAACCTTTAGGTTGCTTATCCATTTGATGCTTATGGTATATGGTGAAAGATGCTTGTCTAAACCTATTTTCTGCCTAACTTCTTTCTGTTTTCTCCAGAAATTCTTGACAGATAAGGAGTCCTTTCCCTCAGTAGTTTGTGTTCCTGTGTCCTGTAGCCTTTTTTTTTTCCCCCAGACGCACATTGAAGCAGAAAATCAGAAAAGGAAACAGTAATTTAAGTATCTTTTGTCCTTTCCCTTTTCCCATTGGGAAAGGATGAGATTGTGTCTTGCAGATTTGTTTCGTTTTTTTGTAAGCACTATTTTTAGTTTTGTTTCAAGTTGCCAGCTATTGTGTAATGCGACATCTGTTCGTGTGGTCAACTGTTCGTAGAGGTGGTGTGCCTTGTACCTTTGCAGGTTGTTGAATGGGAATTGCGGAAAGACAGTGAGAATTAGGAAGGAGGCCTAAACTGTTTCTCTTGTAGCCTCATGTGATGATAGAAGCTAAACTAACCAGCCCTTGGTCACCTGGAAGACTTAATGGCACTCTTACTACCCACAAGACTGGACCTTTCATATCCAGAGATGATAACGCGAATTGTTATCTCTGAGCAGCTATGAAAATACTCCTCTGACAATGAGAGCTCTATTGCACATATCCAGAGGCCGAGGACAACAGAAAAGAAGACTGCATTTAGAGTCGGAAGACCTGGATTTGAGTCCTTCCTGTCGTTTATTGCTTCTATGACTTTGGGTAATCCGCCTCTTCGGGGCCTCAGAAGTTTAGACCAGATGATCTCTAAGATCATTTACATCTCTGAATATATGCTTTTTGACCCTCCTCTGATCCACAGCTGAAAACAGTTTATATCTTTCCTCAAAAGACTGTTTATTGGTTTTTAACTGCTTGTAGAAATTTGGTTCCCGACTCTCTGAACTTTGCCACCATTTCTCAGATGCCTTTTCATTCTGCCCCCACCAACACATGGGCGCACGCCTTCTAACTCTGGAAGGTCCTTCTGGCCCCCTTTGCCCATTGGCAGGTTACTCCCAGAACCTCGATTTGGAAAGCCACCTGTCTTTCATCCTCTTGTCTCCACTTCCGCCTCTCTCATTTGTGCCATCACATCCCATCTTTCCATCTCCTGCTTTTTAGCTCCCTTTTATGCTTTGTCTTCGCTCGTGAGAATGTAAGCTTCTTGAGGGCAGGGACTATTTTCTTTTGCAGAAGGGAGTCCTTTCCCCCAGTAGTTTGTGTTCTTGTGTCCTATAGCCTTTTTTTTTTCCAGACGCACATTGAAGCAGAAAATCAGAAAAGGGAACAGTAATCTAAGTATCTTTTGTCCTTTCCCTTTTCCCATTGGGAAAGGATAAGATTGTGTCTTGCAGTTTTGTTTCATTTGCTTATATTTGCATTCGAAGAACTTAGCACAGTGCCTGGCACCTAGTAATCCCTTAAATGCTTGTTAGCTAGAGTCTGGTGCTCAGCTGTGACTGTGCTTCTGGGGCTGTGTGGTGCCCCTCTGATGGCTGTATCCCAGGATAGTTGATCTGCAGTAGCCGTTTTCCAGCAGCCACTGTCTAATGCCAGGTCTTCTGAGGTTTTGTTTCACTGTCTTTTAAGTCCTTCCTCTGTCGTCCTTGCTTGTGGTGCCCTATTTCAGATCACCGCACAACAGCAGCTTGAGTATCCTGCTGTGGAATCCATGTAAGGACCTCCTGATGTAAGGGCATGTAACTTAGTGATAGGAGAGTTGAAAGCAGAGGCAATTGTGAAGCAGGAGTGTTTGGATGGATTCTTGTGTGAGAAAGAAAAAAGAGATATATGGGTTAGTGAAATAAAGTCTAAATAATAGACTTAAATCTAGTTACCTGTGGGAACTATAACAAGTTTCTTTGAGCAGAAACTAGGAAGTTAAGGCAAGTTGAATGTCATAGAGTGAAGATGTGGGCTTTAGGAAAGAGATGGGAAGATGAGTAAATAGAAAAAACTTATGGAAAAAGACAGGTGATGAAAAGATTAAACATTTAGCACTCCTGGTTCAAGAGGTCATCAGAAAAAATGGGTTCGCAGTCCTTAGCACATAGTAGGCACTTAATAAATGCTTGTTGAAATCCCAGAAATGGAGCCGTTTCCAAAGGATGAAAAAAAAAGCGATGACAGAGGCCTTTGAATAAAGGAGGGAATGACCATCATAGAGATGGAAAACAAGAAGGGAGGCTCCAGCTTCCTCTGACAATGTCTGAGTGTTCTAGTAATGTCAGGAGCATAGATGCCCTGCTGCCCTCCCTGCTTATGGAAATGAAGTGGGAAGTAATGCTTTGAGATCAATTCTCTTTTTTTCTCATACTGCTCTGTGTTCTTAGAATCAGCTGTACTGGCATCTCCTATTCAAGTAGATACCCATCAATGCTTTTCTCTAGACTAGGCTATCCATTAACTTCCTGATACCAACAGCGAGTTATTAATTATATAGAATGTGGAAAAATAAATCACCCAAATTTCTAGAAAGCTTGACAAAAAGAGGCAAAGGTGTAGGCTATGAAAAGATAATCTCTTCTTTGACCCTGGCCATTTTCCATTTTTTATTCACTGACTCTGCCTCTGATAATTTAGATTTTTTGAAAGAAGTGCATCATGGGGCAATCTTTTGATAGGAAGAGGAAGCTGGATGGTAAGGATTTTTCCCAGTGGTGTAATGGGGTCTTACAGAAAGTCACCCTGGGATAAATGGAGAGATACTGGTTATCTGGGGAAAGTTAGAGATGGCGAAGGAGGATGTGTGTGAGCGCCGAGTATCTGTGTGTGTCATGGTGCATAAAAACCCTGTGCCACCTGGAAGAGGAAAGGAAACCAGGTTACACATTTCCAGACACAGGCTTTCCTTTCCTCCCCTTGGCTCTATCAGGTGTCCTGATTCTCCCTTTTTGCTTCCCTGGCAGGTGGCTGTAAAAAATAACATTGACGTCTTCTACTTCAGCTGCCTCATCCCACTCAATGTGCTCTTTGTAGAGGATGGAAAAATGGGTGAGTGCGGCTTCATTCTCCCAAGTGTTTCTGTGCCATCGACATCCCTGTGAAGATGACAGCTTCTTCAGTGCCACAAGTTATTTCAGAGCAAATCCAGGGCTTGTGACTGTCTTCCAGCTGTGCTGTGCCTGTTAGTAAATGGCCTCAGAGATTGTGGTCCCTACGTGCTTTGTGGTCTCTGACCAAGAAGCCCCATCCTCATCTGAAACCACAGTTTTCTGTGATTGATGACACAAGCAGCTGCCCGCTGTGCCCATTGGGCCCGTATGTCACTCCAGAGTCAACCAGTCAGCTGGGATTTATTAAGGCCTTGCTCTGTGCCAGGCATTGTGCTAGGGATACAACAGGAAGCAAAAACTGTCCGTAGCCTCAAGGATCACAGCCCAGAGGGGAGACGACCTATAAAGAAGGTGGTCTGAGCAAAGGGAGCGCTAGTAGCTGGGGAAGCCAGGAAGGCCTTCCGCAGGAGGAGGCCTTGGGCAGAGTCTTGAAGAAACCAAGGGAAACCCAGAGGTCACAGTGAGGGAGCAGGGCAGGCATTGGCACAGCCAGTGCAAAGACATGGAGATGGGAGATGGAGAGTCATGTTCTTAAAGAACTTGGAGTATGCTGGTATAGATGTGAAGGGAGGAGAGAGACGATGTAGCTTATTGAGCACAGTGTGATGTGATCAGACCCATCCTTTTGAAAAATCTCCTTGGCATCCAAGTGGAAGATGTATTGCAGGAGGGAGAGACTTGGAGCAGGGAGGCTGGTTAGAAGGCAGCCAGGTGAGAGATGATGAGGGCCTGAACTAGGGCGGTGGGTGTGGGAATGGAGAGCATGTCCAAGAGATGTTGTGTTCTGTAAGCTTCATCTGGATCTGGGCTATTAAAGCAGCTTCATAGCATGGCATCAGGTTGGGTCAGAGCCCAGGCTTCAGCCCTGGTGGCAAGCAGCGGCCTTCCAAGTGAGGCCTGACTTTCAGGAGGAATTTGAAGAAGTAGTCACAGAGCAAAAAGAGAGCTCATGCCTACCCTCACCACGGTACGCAGGCAGGGGCGTTGTCTCCACAGTAGCCACACTTAGTCTTCTCCACCCTGCCCCCTCCCTTTAACCTTCTGAGCCGGGAGTTAGTCCTTTAGGGCAGTTAGAATCTAACCACTACCCCGACATCGGCAGCAGGGGCTGTTTAGGTGCCTCTAGCCTCCCCCACCTAGCCACCCTCAGCACATCTATCCTTTGCACTCAGGTTGCCTCTTAGAGGGCAGGCCCTGTGGTCCGGGGCAGTATGCAGTGAACAAGAGCTTTACCTCCGCTCTCTTTGTTTTGGATAGGACAAGACTTGAGTGTGGAAGTTTATAATGTACATAATTATTAGTGCAGGAGTACTACATAACTTCAAAAGAAATTAAAAATAAACCTATTGGGGTGTGTACTCAAAAATTCTTTACTGATAGAAGTGTGGTCAAAAAAGTTTAGAGTCCACTGGTAATGATAATAATAGCTAACATTCCTATAGCACTTACTGTGTGCCAGGCACTGTGCTAAGCACTTCAAATTATTAACTCATTTGATCCTCACAGCAACCCTGGGAGGTGCTGTTATTATCCCCATTTTACAGATGAGGAAACTGAGGCAAGTAGAGATTAAGGGACTTGCCTGGAGTCACTTATCTAGGAAGTGTGTGAGACCAGAATTGAACTCAGATCTTTCTGACTCTAAGACCAACACTCTATCCACTGCACCACCTAGTTCTAAAGTGCCTCCATAGTGTAGAAAACACTTAATTGGTAATAGTGTTGAGTGTGTGGCTTTGGAACACTACCAGATTACAAGCATTTTTCTCCCCCTCTGTTCCTAAATTTAGAGCGCCAAGTCTTCCTTGCAACGTGGAAGGACATTCCCAACGAGAACGAGCTGCAGTTCCAGATTAAGGAATGCCACTTGAATGCTGGTGAGTGACTGGCCGACCTGCTGCCCTCCTGGGTTACAGCTAATGGCAGTTCCAGGCTCTGCCCTCTGTTCCTTAATTTCTTTTCTGGCTTGAGGTTGGTCTGCTCCTTTGAAGTCTGACTGAGATTCCGCCTTGTGTTTGTTCACTCCCTCCTTTGCACAGTGCTGGCTCTTTCCGTACCCTGCTAGTCCCAGTGCTTCTGGCACACGCCACTGAGAGAGGGAATGTGACAGTTCAGGGAAGAAAAGAAATGAAAGGCTAGGCTTTTGTTTCTCATATGTAGCCTATTTCTTGAGGGTCATTATTGAGGTCCGTGCTAAATCCTCAGTACTTTCAAATGTTGATTGAATTCTATGTAATCTCTTCTGATAAAATGCTACTGGAGTTAGAGGCTCTGAGTTTTTCAGGAAACTTAAAATTTTTGGTTTTTTCCAAACAGATATGGTCTAGTTACTTTTGATTCTAGTACCTTCAGAAGACCGTCAACCACTGTCTTAGCTCCAGGTGTATTTTCCCACTAATAACTATTGTAGTAGATGGAATTCCTGTTGTATTTTGATAGCCCTGTTTTTTCATTCTCTTCAGAATTGCCAGGTGTCAACCTGTTCTTCAAGTAAATCTTTAGCCTAGTTTTCTAATGTCAGTTTATCCCTTGGCAGACAAGAACAGAGCTTGAAATCCTTCGTGAAGAGTTCAGGCTTTTAGCCCCTTTTCCTGTAGTTCACACTAACTAGGATGATGGTGGTTCTCTGTTGCATTGTTGTTTAATGAGTCCTCTTTCAGTGACTGAGGAAGAGAGGGCCCCCACTTGCAAATGTCAGCGCCTCTGAAGTCTGCTCGAAGTGGGAAATGAAGTGGGTCATGGCCAACAAGTCGTCGTGCTCAGCTGCAGAAGAACCTGAATTCTGGATTACTTGGCTACGTTCTGGGTGCTTTGCAGATCTGAGAATAGTGGTGGCAGTAAAGCTGTCAGGGGATCCAGGGCAAAAGGGAAATGAAAGAGCAAGATTTGCTTTGTTTTTGTTTTTTCCTCCATAAATGGGGCAGCTGGGTGGCACAGAGGATAGAGCACTGGCCTGGAGTCAAGAAGACCTGAGTTCAAATTCAGCCTCAGACACTTACTAGCTGTGTGATCCTTGGGCAAGTCACTTCACCCTGTTTGCCTCAGTTTCCTCATTTGTAAAATGAGCTGGAGACAGAAATGGCAAACCACTCCAGCATCTCTGCCAAGAAAACCCCAAAGTGGGTCATGAAGAGTTGGACCTTACTGAAACCACTGAACAACAGTAATCAGTGGTAATCTCTGTGAGTGAAGTGGAAGTCAGAAAGATCCGGTGTGGATTGCCAGGTAAGAAGAGGCCGCTTGACTTGCGAGAGGAAAACCAAAAGCCATCATGAGAAGTGACCCTGTGCTGCGTGTGCCTGGGAACATGTTGCCTCTGACAGTGCCTGTTTGGAGTGCCCCTCAGAGAGGAGGCGTCTCGGCTCTGCCAGGAGGAGGTGCAGTCTATGCTGAAGACTGAAGCTGCCTTTCAGACAGAGGTGTTTCATTGTTGCTCCTTTGTCTCTAGGTCGCCCCCTTGCCTTGGCTGTTCCACGCACTCCATGAACTCTTTTCCATTGTAACTGCTCTTTGGCTAGTGGCAACATAAATCTTGGATGACAGAATCTCCTTATGTTCCCTTAAGGACATCGACCATCTTTTCTTGTTCATTAAGTCACTGATGCTGCTGGAAGACTGCTTCTTAAAGCCTATTCCTGAGTAGGTGGCCTGCCTGCGCCTATCCCCTGCGGCCCAGAGGGAGCTGACCTGCATGCTCCCTGCCAGACAGAGGAGCTCTCTGTTCAAGAAGGCATTGTAAGTCCCCAGTTTTTGCAGTATCTGAATTCAACACTCAGAGTCTAGCTGTGAGCTAAAAATACCATTCTGCCCAGCTGATCTGCCCTAATCACAGCAGTAGCAGTTCTTTAAATAGAGCAGCCATGCCAGGGTTGAAGTCTGACAGATGGAGTCAACATACCGAGGACTTCAGGGGGCCATAGACCAGGCCTGGACCTTGGCTTTGACTAGCTTACTTCATCCGGAAGAATAAATAAACCAGAGTCCACTTGCCCAAGGCAGCATGTAGTATTTCAGTTTAGTAGTCACATAAAGGGATGTAAAGAGTAGATCCCTCTTTAGGTAAGTTTGCATTTCTTTCTGTTTTTCAGTTATATCTTCCATAGGAGTCCTTTGCACAGTTTGAAGAAATTGATTTCCATGTTCCTTGTCCCCTGATATACCTCTCTTTGGGAGGTCTCCGGCCCTTTTTTCTCTTACACATAAATATCCAGGTATATGTCTTTTTTTTTTTTTTTGGTGAGGCAGTTGGGGTTAAGTGACTTACCCAGGGTCACACAGCTAGTAAGTGTCAAGCGTCTGGTCTGAGACCGGATTTGAACTTAGGTCCTCCTGACTCCAAGGCCAGTGCTCTATCCACTGTGCCACCTAGCTGCCCCCTAGCTATATGTCAAGAAGGAAGGAAGCCTTTACTGTAAGCCATTTTACTAACCTCCTTTGTCCTAGTGGTTTATTCCCTTTTGAAAGTGTAGAGATTAAATGATAATCTAGTTAGCTTGACTTGAATGCACTTTATGAAAGCATTTGTTGTGGCCCAGAGTAGTGGGGGGAAAGGTAGTTTTATTTCTTTGTCCCCCCTATAGCTTATCCTACCCTTCAGTTAGATCCATTTCTAAAATGGAAACTCTACTCTGTAGTCAAAACTTAATTTAGATTAGTAATTCAAATAGTAAGAGGCATTCTTTTTATCAGGTCATGGTACTGTGTTTTGTACTTCCTGATGTACATTGCACTAGATGGAAAATGTAAATTGTCAGGCCCTTTTCTCTAAAATAAGCGATCCTACACTCTACCTTAATTGTTGTCAACAGAGGTATGAATAAATGGGGAAGAAATTCTAAAAAGCTAGTGTTAGTGGCCCTGTTTTAGCCATCTACCTTGCTTTGTTTCTCTCTGCCGAAACCACGATACACAGCTGTATCTGGACGCAGGGCCAGCTTCCGAGGTGGAGAAATTCCAAATGCTGCAAACTTAGATCCATTCAACTTTTGCCTGTCCTACATAGCTATTGGCCACATTTTCCAGTTTGGGGGGAGGTGAGAGAGAGAGAGAGAGAGAGAGAGTGAGTGTGTGTGTGTGTGTGTGTGTGTGTGTGTGTGTGTGTGTGTGTGTGTGTTTCAGTAGGCAAGTCATGAGAAATCTGCAGACTCTTCCTATGAAGCAGACTTTCTGCTTGTGAGATGAGTGGAAGATCTCTTGTTCATTTTTCTCTATTTCCCTGGGAAATGAACAGGAGTCTTGAAAGTTAGGAATAGTTTTTCACAGCTTCAAATAAACCCTGTCAAAAGGTGGAAGAAAAGAAAGTAGCATTAATGAAACATCTAAAAATACACCAAAGAGAGCAGAGGAAAGTGCAGCCTAGGACACTGTCAAGCAGGGCAGTGTGGATACCATGTCACTATGTTATATTTAATAGATACTTTTAAAAAAAGCCAAGTTGTATATAACTAAGATTCATAGTATTAGATGTAATTCTCTTTTTATTATGTTCCTAGCATAAGGAAATATTAATCTTTGTTGATGACAAAGTTTATAGCAATAAAAAAGAAGTTTTTTTTTTTTTAAGAAAAGTAAAGCGTTGGGGATCGTGCCTTAAGCCAAACCCCAGCTGACAGTAGTGTCTTGCAACCTGGCTGGATCAGTTAACAGAATGCTGGCCAGAGCAGCTACCTCACCCCTAGAAGATCATTTAAAATGACTCTTATCTAAGATATAGATTCTGAAGTCCTAAACAATGAATGCTAAAAGAATGATCCTATTATGAGCCAGGCTTGACATTGGATGACTAGGAATAGGCAGTGTTTTGAATTTTTCCCATGCTTTTATCCTAGATTATGTATATATTTGGAAAGATGTGTTCATAATATGGCTTAAAGTGTACATGGGGAGTGGGGTGGGGATAGTTAAGGTGATAGCTTCTATTCCTCCCCCACCCCACCTCCCCCCCCAAAATAGAAGAGAAGTAACACCAGTAGTGCTTATAACTTCTAACTTTGCCTTCTGAAATAGGACTTCTTTATTCTTAAAGGTACTGCTTTTAGCATTAATAAAAGCCCTGGATGTAAAGGAGAAAATTTGTGTAGGAACTCTATATGAGGAAACTATAACATGAACCCGGACTCCTGTGCTGATCAAACGACATTTGAGTGCATGTGTACTTGTGACAGCACCAACTGCAGAACAGATAACTGCACTGTTGTTGTTGTTATTCAGTTGTGTCCGACTTGGCAAAGATACTGGAGTGGTTTGCCCTTTCCTTCTCTGGTGGATCTATTTTGTCAGGCAATCATAGGTTAAGTGACTTGCCCAGAGTCACACAGCTAAGAAATGTCTGAGGCTAGATTTGAACTCGTCTTCCTGACTCTAGGCCCAGTGCTGTATTCACTGAGCCACCTAGCTGCCTCCCGCAACATACTAGGTGTTTAATGTACACTACGCAGAATGCACATTTGGGCATCAATCTTGCACCAATAAGAATTTTTTAAAAAAATTCATTCAGCAATATTTACTGAAGCCTTCTCATGTGCTAAGCAATGCAAAGACCTGTCCTCAGAAAGTTTACTTTCTAATGTATTAGAAAGAAAATGTCATGAAAGTTTTTGGCCAGCCTCCTACAAGAGCTAAACACAAGACTCAATAGAATGGGCTTAACCAGGGCAGAATGGTGATGCCATAAACCTGTTGGACGTGACTGCCTTCCAGATCTTTTGATCATCAGACAGCCTGACATCAAGAACCACTTACTTTTTTCTTGGTGGGCAGAAACTTTCTGTTCTCCTTCCTGGCATGATAATGTCACAGTAATTCCAATTGGTGGTCAGCATTTCTCCAGTATTGAACTTTGTAGTTTTCTATTTTAGGTCAGTCATGCTGTTCTTCTTTTTGGAGAAGCTTGGTGGCTGACTCAAGATCTTATCAGAAGCAGGGCTTTCTAAGATAAAGTGCGCTGACTTTGGGTTTCTTGAGCCCAGTGCTTTCCGGGTTCTCGGTGTCTGAGCCAGCACAGCCTGAAGCCTGTGGCTGAGCACAGTCAGAGGACAGGACCTGGCCTAGGGGATGGGGCAGCTTTTCCATTTGGAAGCAATTCAATTCGACTTCAAGAAGTAATCTAGGACCTGCAGTCACCATTCTCTCCCCCATCACCAGTGTGCACAGGTAATAATCATCAACAGAGATCATCCTTTTCTCATCTTTCTTGCTCTGAAGTTTGAGGATTCTTCCTTGGCTGTCAATGGGCTCATCTATAGATTTCTCTCCTTTCAGCAGACAGGCATCAAGAGTTCATCAAACAGCAAGCGTTCATTAAGTGTCTACTCTTTGCCAGATACTGAGATACAAAGACAAAAATGAAACCATCTTCTTCCCTTGGAGAGCTTGCACTCTATATTGGGGGGGGGGTGGCCTTTGAACTGAACTTTGAAAGAAGCATCGGAGTCTGAGAGGCTGAGGTCAGGAAGAAGTTTGTCTCAGATGTGAGGGATGGCTGGTGGTGTGGGAAGGAGCAGCCACAAGGCCAGGACATAGAAGAAAACTGGAAAAGTTGTTTGGAACCAAGCTGTGAAAGGCTTCAAATTAGAGAGAAAGTCACTGTCCTTACCCTCTGGTACTTTGGAGCTGTTCCAGTGACCTAGAAGGTGCACAGACACCATCTATTCCTTATTCCTGGGTTAGCGACCAAAGCCTTCCCCCAACAGCCTTTGGCAACAACTGTTCCAGAATTTCATAGTGAACTACTTATCACAGTATCAGGCTTCCTCTTGGAGCCTTTCTTCCACATAGCTTATCTCAGTTTTAATTTGATGCTCTGGTGTTCTAAAGGGACCTTTTGCCTGTTCCTAAAACCCTCACTCCATGGGGAGTCTCTAAGTCTTGCACCTTCTAAACCACTAAAACTTAAAAGAAAAATTTCAAGGCAAATGTACAACTCCAAGTCATGCCGTCATCTTACCTGTGTGGATTAAGGAGGGATGGCTCCAGGTACAGTGGCCATGGCTCTGCTGATGTCACAATGGTGACCAGCAGCAGATCAGTATGTGATACTAGTCCACTACCCTGTGTGTATTATGTGCATTGTCTCTCTCTCTCTCTCTCTTCAAGTGTAAGTTCCTTGAAGATGGGACACTGTCTTTGCTTTTGTACTTGTATCCCCAGCATTTAGCACAGTGCTTGGCACTCAGTAAGCACTTGCTTTTCATTCACTGATTCCTCTAGTCCAACATCCTCATTTTACAAAGAGGCCTGAGGTCCAGAGAGGTTTGACTGGTAGGACCTTTCCCCACAAATCCCTGTGGTCATCTTGTGCTCAGTCCATAGGGCTGATTTGTGCAGTGATGTCTCAGGATGAACCTCGTTCTGTGCTCTGTATTAGAATCAGACACAGTCAGAGAGCCTGCCTACTCCCTCCATGTTGCTATTAGTGAGAAAAGAGATTTTGAAGTTTGTTGAATCTTCATGTCTTCAATCTTTTCTTCTCCCATTCCTTCCATCTTCTGGCAATCAGAATACACAGCCTCCCTGAGCATCCTTCCCAGTACTAGCTGTACATTCCCTTGACTCATGGTTGAGGTGAGGGAGTTGGAATACTCCTTGTTCCCTTGCTGTTTTCAGGGTTTCCCCACTACCTCTATCCTCTCCTGAGTTCCGTACAATCCATATCTGCCATTCAGCCAAAATTCTGGTAGCTGTTGTCTACAGACCTACGGGACACTCCTCTTCGTTCTTCAGCCAGTTCAGTACCTAACTCCATCTTTCTGTCCTCCCCAGCACCTGCCCTCAGACTAGAGGCCTTCACTAGAGAAAGTGGAGAAAATGACACAACCATTCTGGTTGAGTCCGCTACCAGTTTATATTATTACATAACTTCAACTGGGCCCTCCCTGCTGCTAGGCAATCCTACACCTCCTGTACCAACTCACTGTTGCCCTCTCCACAGCAGCTCTTCCAAATCTTGTCATCCTTCATTAAGCCTCCCATGGCTCCCCATCCTCTTGCCATCTCAGCTGAGAACCTCACCTCGTATTTCACACAAAAAATGTAGGCCGCTCATCATGAGCTCCTCTTCCTCCAGCATCCTTGTTTCGTATCACTCACATTCCTTCAGCCCATGTAGAAGTGGCTTTACTCCTTACCAAGGCCACCCTCTCTACCTGCTCAGGCAGTCCCATTCCACCCTCTCTCCTCCAACAGGTTGTCTGCTCTGTCATTCCCTACTCTATCGCTCATTTTCCATCTCTCCCTCTCTACTGGTTTATTCCCTACTGCCTATAAACATGTCCATATCTTCCCCAATCTGAAGAAAACATTCACTTTTCCCTTTGATCCCCATTACCCCTATATTTCTTCTGCCCTTTGTAGCTAAACTCCTTGAAAAGGCTCTTTATAATAGATGCCTCTAGGTTTTTGGGGTACCACTCTCTCCTGGTTATCCTACCTGACTGATTGTTCTGTCATCTTTGCTGGATTCTTCTCCAGATCACACTCTCTAACCATAGGTGTCCTTCAGAGTTCTGTCCTGGGCCCTCTGCTCTTCTCCCTTTATACTCATTCACTTAGTGATCTCATCAGCTGCCATGGATTTAATTACCATCTCAGCGCCAATGCTTCTCAAATCTACCTTTCCTGCCCCAGTCTCTCTACTGACTTCCTATCTTGTATCTCCAACTGCCTTTCAGACATCTCCAACTGGATGTCCAGTGGACATCTTAAAATTAAACATGTCTAAAACAGAACTCATTATCTTTCCTCCTAAACCCTCCTCACTTCCAAACTTCCTTATTACTGTTGAGGGCAACACCATCCTCCCACTCCCTAATCTCATAACCCAGAGTCATCCTGGGCTCCTCACTATCTCTCAGTTCATCCCCCCCCCCCCCATATCCAGTATGGTGCCAGGGCCTGCTGATTTCACTTTCTCAAAATAACCCCTTTCTCTCCTCTGATACAGTCACCACTCTGGTGCAGACCCTCATTATGTCACATGTGGACTATTGCAGCAGCCTGTTAGAGGCTCTGCCTGTTTCAAGTTTCTCCCCATTCCAGTCTATCCCCCATTCGACCACTACAGTAATTTTCCTAAAGCACGGGTCTGACTGTGACACCCCCTACTCAGTAAACTCCAGTGGCTCCCTGTCACCTCTAGGATCAAACGCAGAGTTGTTTGTTTAGCATTCAAAGCCCTTCATTGCCTGTTATTCTCCTGCCTCGCCTGTCCCATCTTCTACGTCTTTCACCTCCCTACTTAGACTTTGATCCATGGACTCACTGTTCCACAGACAAGACAGACCATCTCTGGACTTTGAGCATTTTCTCTATTCTTCCCCCTCCACCTGGAATGCTCCCCTCCTCACCTCTGTCTTCTGGCTTTCCTGGCTTCCATCAAACCCCAGCTAAAAACCACATCTTCTACACGATCCCTCATAATTCCAGTACCTTCCCTCTGGTATTTATTACCTATTTCTCCTGTATATAGCTTGTTTGTACTTAGTTGTTTTCATTTTGTCTCCCCAGTTAGATTGTGAGCCCCGTGGTGGCAGGGACTGTCTTTTGCCTTTCTTTGTATCTCTCCTGCTTAGCACAGTGCTAGGTACATAGTAGGTGCTTAACAAATGCTTATTGACTGCCTGATCATACAAATATAAACCTGGTATTTGCTTCTCCATTTGTTGTGTTTTAGATATGAAGAAGTGCAGGGAATGGGGAGGATCTGTGTACTTCCTTAAAGGTTTTAAAAGACTGTTGGAATTTCTGTTTGTTTCTAGACACTGTTTCCAGCAAACTGCAAAACAACAATGTTTATACTATTGCCAAGAGAAATGTGGAAGGGCAGGACATGCTGTACCAGTCCCTGAAACTCACTAATGGCATTTGGATATTGGCAGAGCTGCGTATCCAGCCAGGAAATCCCAACTACACAGTAAGTCTTGCCAGCCCTACCAAAGAGGGGGAAAGGTGTTTTTTGTTATTTTTCAGGGGGCTCTGCCCTTTCCTCTTTTCAGTACATACTGTTCACAAATTATGGCAGTCTAATACTTAGTACCATCGAATACTTACAGAGAGAGTGAGCATCCTCTAAATATATATATATATATATGGATATATATTACTGTAATAACTTCTGAAGTGGTTCTTGGCCCAGTTGATTCCAAAAGGATGTGTGTTTAACCCCACAGGAGGAGCTCATATACCAAGAAGAGCAAGGAGATTCACAAGTCTTTTCTAGCAACTCTGTGACCCCCAATGTGTGTCCCTTTATCATTGAATATAAGGCAGGTTAGGGCTGACCACCAGCAGCACACCGGGAGACTTTTATGTGGAAAACCCCACACTTTGGAAATAAATGTTGTGATGAAACTTTGATTGTGCTGAACCACATATAAAATGACAGCTTCCTTTTTGCTCTTTTTATCTGTGGCCACTAAATAGGCTCTTGTTTGTCTTGGGCTGATTGTCCTGGCTCTGTAGCTTCCTATCACTTCACTCTAAGTCAGCTGGAGCAGCTGTGCTTCTCAGTAAAACTTGGACTACCTCATCAGACCTTGAACCTTTTACTTAGTTATTTGTAAACTGGAGAGTTTCAGGATTCTCCCAGAAATGTGCATTCTTCCTTGGCCTCCCTGCCCAGCTAGTTTCTCTCGTTGGAGTTTCCTGTTCTGCCTGTAACCCAGAAAGGAAGCTCTTCCTTTCTTTGGCTATTTCTTCTGGGGCTGGTTCTCTGTGTAATTTTAAAATCAGTTGTGTAAACTTCACTATAAGCCCTACCAAAATTCAGCAGTTTTCAAAATAGAACTGCTGGCATACATGATGAGGATGAGAGAGAAGAGGAGAGGAGAGGGGAAGAAAGAAGAGAAACACACACCTCACCTTGGCCAACCCTACTAACACAATGGCTTCATGACGTATTTAGCCTGTGGAAGATCTTTCCCCCTCCCTTGCCTTCCCAATTTTTTTTTTATTATTGACTTAACAAATATTAGGAAACATGGTCATTTCTATATGTAAGTAACAGAAAAAGAGGCTCATGTATGAACCTGTGGGACTCGATTAAAGTTTATGTTCAACTTGACATGGTAGTACCAACGATGCCTTGCTTGTCTGTGACCCCTTCTGAACTTCTTTTCACTGTCTTCCCTGTATTTATAAGTTTTGTTGACACTTTTCCTTTTGTATGGCTGTCATTCCCTGTGCACCCTCTCCAGATGAATAAATAAGCAAATAGATAAATAAGTGCTCTCCCTCGTACCAAATTAGTAAACAAGCAAAACAGTGTTGCACATCGTTTTATCTGAAAATGTAGATCTCATTCTGCACCTACTATCAGTCACTTCTTTGCTGAGAAGTCAGTTGCCTCCTAATCAGTTTTCTGAAGTCATTACATTGATCTGAGTTCTTGAGTCTTTCAGAATTGTTATTCTTTACAATGTAGTAACTGTATAAATTGTTCTCCTGGTCTTGCTCACGTCATTCTATATCTGTTCATACAAGTCTTCCTATGCTTTTCTGAATCCAAGCCTTTTTTCATTTTTACAATATAATAATATTCCATTAAATTCATATATCATAATTTGTCTAACCATTCCTCAGTTAATGGGCATTCATCTTATTTCCACTTCTGCTACAACAAAAAGTGTTGCTATAAATATTTATGTACATATGGGCCCTTTCCTTCTGTTCTCTTTGAGGTATTGACTACTGGTATCACTGGGGTTTCAGTGTTTTGAAAGGCTTAGTGATTTGCTCACTGTCCCAGTAATGCAAGTGCTCAGATTAAATGACCTACCCGTGTGACCATGGGTATGTTGGGCTCCCTGAGCTTCATTTTTCTCATCTGTAAAATGGGGATGTAATAGCGCCCACCTCAAACGGTTGCTGTACAAGTCAAATGAGGTAGAATGGATGTCGAACATTTTGCAGACTTTAAAGCCATATATAAGTCTTTATTACTGTTATTATTATTGTTATTTTCACAACTGCTAAGTGTTGTAGTCCGGTCTCCTGACTCCAAATGCAGTCCACTTTCTGCCCTACTACACCGTGTCTGTGATGCCCTTTATCCAGTGCTTTCTCAGTCAGCAGGCTGGAGAAAATTTAATATAGGGAAGGGGCACAAGAGACTTATCATCAAATGCTTGAAAAGCTGTTCTGTGGAAGAGAAATTACAGGGAAGCACCTTTTGGTTCAATATAAAGAACTTTTCAGAGCTCTCCAGCATAGAAGCAAGCTAACTCTCCTGTAAAGTGGTAAGCTCCCCATAGCCAGAAGTATTCAAGCAGACACTGGATAACCCTTTGTCAGGGTGTTACAGAAGAGATTGCTAGGTTGACTCCGATGGCTGGCTTCTTTTAACTTTGAAGCTTTGATTCTAAGCAAATGAATATTTCTTCCTAAGCTGTTATTATCCCTTATTAATTGTTATTTTTCTCCCATTCCTTCAGTAAACTTACAAGTCCCTGGACTTAAATAATACCTTTCTGTTGAAAAACTTCAAACTGCTATGGATCTACAGTTTTATAGGAATTTGATATTTAAAGAAACCATGGGAAATAGAAACACTTTTTGCATGAACGTAGCAGGAGGGAAAGCATCGATGGGAAAAACATCTTTGCAGCAGATTTCTGATAAGAATTTGACATCCAGGATATGCAACACAGTAGAATAACAAAGATGTGAGACCAGGAGTCATTGACCAGGGGTCTTAAGGCAGGAATAAGCAGTACTCAGAAAAATTGCAAACTCTTAACAAACATGTCACCCCATACCCAGTAAATTGGCAAAGATGACAAGAGCTGAGGAAAGTGTTGGCAGGGCTGCAGAAAGACTGGCACACCAGTCACTTGTGGTAATGCTCTGAATTGGTCATTCTGGAAAATTGTAATTAGACTTGAGTCCCCTCGATGTCCGTCTCCATAGGTCGCTGTCCCTGCTGGCCATGAGCCCCAGGAAGTGAAAGGTGACAGTTAACACATAAACCAGTTTCACAACATCTTTTTTTTTTTTGTAATAACTGGAAATACATAGATACCCATTGTGTGGGAAATGGCTAAACTAGCTGTGGATACATGATCGTAAGGGAATAATGCTGTACACAATCAGTGACAAGGATAAAGAATTCTGGGAAGACTTAGATGAATGATTGATTACAAAGTGAAGTCCACAGAATGAGGAAAAGTCTATACACAATGATGTTTCCATGTAATGTAAACCAGAACAAAAAGTACAACTGAAGGCTGTGTAATTAGAATGAACAAGCCTGGTACCCAAGAGATGAGAAAGGGTCCTTCCCTCTCCTCATTGCAGAGGGTATAATATTGCGTAGACTATCAGACATGCTGGTTGTGATGTATAGTTTTGCTGAACTGCTTTGCTTTCTTTTTTTAAATCTTTGTTACCAAGAATGACTAACTTCAGGGTGTGCTCAGAAATGAAGGTGATTTAAAAACAAAATATATCAATAAAAAATAAGATTTAAAAAAAGATACTTTGGAGCTCATACAATATTCTTGTGAAATAGAAGACTAGAATTTTTATCTCCTTGTTAATGATTATGTGGCCATGAGCAATTTCATAGTCTCAGCCCACCCGTTCTGGTGTAGTACACTCACTAGTATACCGTGCCCTGTTTTCCTTTTTTAATCTCTTAGTAAATTATCAGCACTTCATTTTGTAACTTACTGTGATTTCTATTGCATTAATTCCTTCCTGACTTAAGAGGTTTATCATAGATTCTAGATAGACTTCCAATGCAACTTGATCTACATAGGATCCTCATTTATGGATGAGACTGAATGGTTCAAGGTCACAAGGTCATAAGTGTCCAACTTGACATTTGAACCCAATCCTCTGACTCTAGGGTCATTGTGCTTTCCATCATGCTGCCCTACGTTTATGGTAGTGTTGTATTGCTACCATATAAATTAAGACAAACTTCCAAAATCCAGACTGATTTCATAGGAATGATATCATTGTTCAGATACTACCATGAGGCAGGCTGCCCCTGGAAGACTCGGTGACAACTCCCTTGTTGGAAATGTATGTGTTAGATTATCACCAACCTCTGTGCTAATTAGTCTTCCTTCTGTTTTCTTCAACAGCTGTCTCTGAAGTGTCGAGCTCCTGAAGTCTCCCAGTACATCTACCAGGTCTATGACGGAATTTTGAAAAACTAAAAGACTAGAAATGGAGGCGCCTTACCGCCCCTGCCATCTGTGCAAACCAAGACTCTCTAACTGGAAGCAATTGTGTTGATGTATAGACTCTTGAGTCCAAACCACCCTGACCCACCAAGGTAGTGACTAGTGTACTAATGTGTGCTAATGTTAGGACACAACCCTCTGGATAGTTTTACCTGCCCACAAAAGTCTGTAAGCCCTGCTATGACCACTCCCTGCCTCCGCCACCTATGAGCTTCTCCATCCTGTGCCAATGGCTAGCGTTTTCTAAACTGCTTTAGAGCCTAGTTTGTTATTTTGTAATTGAAAACTCATTTCAAAAATCTGAAAAAAAAAAAGGGAAAAAACCTGTTTATTAAAGCAAGGAAAAGTATCATTGAATCATGAATTGCACTTTATTGTTTTGTATTTTTTTATACATATTGAAATTTTTTTTGTTAGTGTAACAAGTTGGAAAGGTAAAAAGCAGCTGCCCCTTGGTAACTGAGCAAAGTGTGAGGAAGAATAGAGCCCAATCAGTTACCATGCTCTCTGTGCAGCATGTTTTCAGGAGAAACTACTTCATCCCTGGTTAATTGAATTTCCAGTGATTTTTTTTTCTTGTCTTTCCCTTTCTCCTTTAGGCAGTATGCTTTCCCTGATTTTTGTTTTCCCCAAATTGCTCTGCTTTTGGACAAGCCAGTCTCCCTTACTTGTTGATTCCAGGATACTGGAGATGTGGAGGGGGTCCCTGATTCCTCTTTGCAACAGAGAGAGACAGAGGTGCAGCTCTCAGCCCTGGGGGTCATTGAGTGATAGTAAGGAGAGGCTCTCTGCTCTGCCCCCGACCAGGTCCCACTCCTTGAAGTCCTCCATTCAGGTGGGGTGTGATCTTGCAGCTGCAGAAGCTGAGGCCCAGACAGGAAAGGGACTTCCCTGTGGTTCCAGGCTACTTCGTGGTATAGCTTGGGCTGAAATTTGGACCTTCTGGCCCCCTTCTTGCACGCCATTCACCTCTTCCCCTGCCTTCTATGTCTCGTGCTTTGTGCCTGTCTGTGTTCTCTCTTCTGATCTTAGCACCCCCTTCAGTCCAGCAGCTTTCCTGATGCCTGCCAGTCATATGAAGGAGCATGCTGTAAAATACAGATACTACTGAGGAAGCAGCCCCCACTCCCACAGGCCCTGGGCCCAGCAAGCTCAGCTCAGTGATGATGCAGGTTGGAACTGCCACAAATCCCTTGCCCTGCTTACCTTCAGCACCTAATTGCTGTGAACAGTTAGGATTAGCTTGGAAGGGGTTGCCAGTTTTTATCACCACATAGTATCCTAGGAGCTCCCCAAGTCCCTCCTTTGTGATTGGACATGATTTTTTGAAAAATATTACAGCATCTGAAACACCAACTTTGTTTTCTTATTTTCTTCTCTGGGGACTCATCCTGGCATGGCCCTTTTGCAGTTAATCCCTACAATGTCAGCCTGAATCTGTGGGTGCCACTAGCCACCTCCAACCTTATCTGCTATTTCCTGAGCTCCAGGGCCCTGTTGGAGGCTGAGAAAAGGGTTGCTCTTTCTTTGATCCTCCTGAGCAGACCTCAGGTACTTTAAGACAAGACCACTGGCCCCAGCACTCTGTCTCAACCTATCAGTTCTCAAATTCTGGGGATTCCCACCAACCCCAAGCAATGGACTGAGTCCATAGAGAAGAGTACTCTAGAGGACGTTTGTTTTGTTTCCAGAAAATGGGGCAAGAGACCCACCAGATGGCCCATATTGTTGGTTGTGCATGATAAAACAAGCTTGGCTTTAGTGACCAGACAGGAAGTAGGAGGACCGCCATCATCCTGGTATGTGCCACAGGCATTCCAACAGCCATGATTCTGTACTGTGTGAAGTGTGCCTGGCTTAGACCACTTGTAGGTCACCAGCTTTAAGTGGAGTGGCACCAGCTTTAAGGCCTTTTGAGAACCCAAACAAGGAGTCATGGAGAGGATACCTCCTGGCACCTGACACCAACTGGTGACTGCTAGTGTTTCTGAAAGATGTACAAAGGTGGGGGGGGGGGGTTAGCCCAATTGTCTGCATGTATGTCAAAAAGAGGAGGACAAGAAGGACCATGAGGTCTGCTAAATTGGCATTATTGGTGTAGCATGGAAAGCCAGAGTGGAGAGATTCTCCCTCAATGATTCAGCATCTCTGCTGAGAAATGCTAGCCCCCGGAAAGTGAGGAGATGATTAGGGGCAAGGGTCAGACAGTTGCCTTCATGTGAGGATGTGTGCCTCTGCCCTAAAATGGGAAGGCCAGAGGCGCTTACAGTCACTGTAAATCATGGGGTAGAAATTGTTCTCACTTGGCCAAATGGAGTGAGCCAGTCTGGGACATCTTGGTCTTTTGGAAAAGTTGGTCACTGTGCACTCTTTAAGTCATCCTTACACATGGAGCACAATCTCTCCAACTCTCTTTCAGAGGGAAACAGATGTTAACCAGCTCTACACTCTTTCCCTTTAGTGCTTTTAGACCATGCCTAACTTAACGGATTGTGGGGGGTGTGTGTGTGTGTGTGTGTGTGTGTGTCTGTCTGTCTGTCTGTCTGTCTGTCTCTGGGCATGAATGCAGGGGATAAAGGAAAACAAATATCCAGAATTATTTTGCTGTCCAGAGGTTTCTTCCAAGTGTCTCCCCTCCTGGGCCTGGACTTTATATGTGTCTGTTCTGTAAAATATGAAGCTGTGGAAACAGGCAGGGTGGGGGTTGGGAATGGGGATGAATATACCACCCTGTGAATGCTTGTCATTCTGTTACTCCCTGTTGGAATCTTGGGGGGGAGGGGGGAGGGCTTCTTGGCCTGTTGTCCTTGTCAATAAACTCATTTACACAAAATAAAAAGTATGGTATGTGCTTTGTTCCCTGAGCTGAAGCACTTGCAGAAAACACAACTAAGTAGAGAAACTATCTGAGCCCAGCCCTGGAAAGGTCATTGACATCGCCCTCTTAAAACTCCTTATTCTGTGTCCTGTTAGGCCCTGTCCCTGGGCTTCAACTGTTGCTCACACATGATATCTGAAATTGTAGTGATGAGGATTCACAGGTTTGTGAAAACATCTCCTGACAGCCCTTGTGACCCCCCTCCCCCAGTCCTGCTGCATACACCCACAAAGCAGTGAGCAGTTAAGGGATGAGTCCCTGAGTACCTGATCCGCTTCCTCTGTCCTTATTCCCTGCCAGTCTCAAACCTCGCCCCCCCAGCCCCAACACACCCAGATTGCTCCAAGGGCATCTGCCAAACAAAGGCAGCCGCTTCTTCCTGCTCCACGGCAGGCAGCCAGGGAAGCAGAGGGGTGGAGAGAGCCACAGGGGCTGGAACCCCCGACACTTGAGGGGCCTTCTGTTGCTCTGCCCTGAGACAGAGCTCCAGCTTCCTGCCTTCCTGGGCATCCCACTGATTTCTCAGGTTTTGAAGTAGGTCATACTAATGTACCACACAAATCAGCCCTTAACCCCTACCTTATTTCAGAATACATGGGAATGCCAGTTTGCAAGCCTAGCATCTGATGAGCTTCGTGGTATTGGGGGATTTGGGGTAGAATTTCAGAGAGAGTAACCTTTGAATTAGCTAATCTAACCTCTGTTCCCATTGTGTCTGTATTCCCTATTCTCTGGGGAAATATCCATTCAGACTCCCTGTAAATCAGGGATTCTTTAACTAAAGTCTGTTTTTAAAAAACAGTATTTTGATAACTATCTTTAATGTAATTGGTTTCCTTTGTAATCATCTATATTTATGCATTTAAAAACATTCTGAGAAGGGGTCTATAGGTTTCACCAGACTGCTCACCTCATTCATGACACAAAAAAAGGGGAAGAGCTCCTGATGTAAATGAAGGCGACCGTGCAGGAGGACGATGACACTGGAAGAAAAGAATCCATGAGTTCAGTCCCTGGACATGGTACAGTTTTCCTGGTTGTATTGGTGGAGATGGCAAAGAGAATGAGAAGGTCTGTCTGGTTCTTAGTAGAGTTCTCTGGACCAGTGGTTTAAAGATGAGGCCAAACTGGGGGAATTCATCCCTGTGACCTCCGACTCGGACTGCATGAGAGAAGGTATCAGTCTGGTGTCGTTGAAAAATGAGTAGTTCTTGAGACATTTGGGTAAAGATTCTCACCTGTTGGCTCTCTTTCTCCTCTTCCACTACGTGGGAAAACTGATAGAAATCGGTCTGCCCCAATCCCCTCGGCCATACGTGGAAAATTAAAAGTTGCTTGTCTCAGGAAGCAAGTCTGGGGCTAGGCAGGCACCCGCTCTTCAAGGTAGCAGTTGTTTGTCACCCCTCCTTTCCCAGAATGGTAATCGGGGAAAGTCCTGGGATCAAAGATAAACAGGCAGGAAGCAGCTGAGGAGTTCCACCCCAGCTCATCCATGATTGCCTTTTCTGGCTCACTGAGGGGCCCGGATTTCTTTTCCCCACCACCCCCAGCTCCAGCAGGCAAGAGCCTGTTTATTTTAATACCTGGTGTGGTACTCGAAAAAGATAGCACCTCCCCCGTTGTTACCCATTTCTAGCTCCTAAAGGCTAATCCTAGAATCCCAGCCAACCCCCAGGCAGTGATATTAGCTGCAAGGATGTTTCTTGAGAAGTTTCCCAGTTGGCTTCAAACTCTTCATCTCGTTTTCTCATTTAGCTTACGACCTGCCATCCCTAAGGCTGCCAACAAAGGGAAGAGATTCTAGGCTGCAAATAGGGGTTCCAGGGGTTTTATTGACAAAGAACAATGGTGTGGTGGAAGAAAGTTGAAGTCGGAAGGCCAAGATTAACATTTTGGCTCTGCTACTGACTACCTGGATGGCCTTGATTCTGTTTCTGTAAAATGGGGGGTAAAAGTGTACTGCATGATCTCCAAGAGTGCTTTCAGGTCTAAATCCTGGGAACCTTCTAGACGTTAGAATAGTGGTCCTTACCCTAGGGTCCACCAACCTGCATGGGGTCCATGCATAGATTTCAGGGGTCTGAGAATTTGGATGGGAAAAAAAATTTCATCTTTATTTTCACCAGCCAATCACTAAACTTTTTTTTTTTAACATTTCTGTCAATTTGGAATTTTTAAAAGCGTATTCTGAGAAAGGGGCCATAGGTTTTACCAAATTAATAAAAGGGTTCATGACAAAAGATCCTTTAAGAATCCCTAGTCTAGGGCAGCAAGGTGGCAAAGTAGATAGAGCACTGGCCCTGGATTCAGGAGGACCTGAGTTCAAATCCGGCCTCAGACTCGTAATGCTTACTGGCTGTGTGACCCTGGGCAAATCACTTAACCCCATTGTCTAGCCCAAAAAAAAACCAACAAAAAACAAAACCCAAAAAAACAAAAACAAGAATCCCTAGTCTAGGGCAACTTTTCAAGGCCATAGTGCTGTCTGAGACTTTTCATCTCGATTTGGGTGAGAAAGGGAAGGTAATAAGCATTTATGTAGCACCTACTATGTGCCAGGCACAATGCTAAGCACTTTTTTTTTTTAAACATATCTGATCCTCACAGTAACCCTGGGAAGTAGGTGCTACTATTATCCCTATTTTACAGTTGAGGAAACCGAGGCAAAAAAACTAAATGACTTGCCCAGGGTGATACAGCTAATAAGTATCAGTTCAAATTTGAACTCAGGTCATCCTGATCCTAAGCCCACAGCTCCAACCACTGTACCACCTAGATGCCCCTGGGTGGGCTGGAAACTCCTACACCCCTGAGTTCAGATATCTCTGACCCTTCCTCTTCCCTCCTGAGGTAACTGATCAAGCAACCTCCAAATCAAAATGTGGATCCAGGATGTTTTAATACTGTTTAAGAAACAAGCAGGAGCCAAGGACTTTGGCCCTTGTCTTTCCAGACCATTTCTCTTTTATCTCCCACTGGAAAAAGCTGGGCTATTAACAATGCAGATGGGTTCACAGGTTCTGTGCCTTTCCAGCCCCCTTGCAGCAGGCATTTATAGTCCGCACCAACCCAGCCTAAGGCATATTGGCAGACCCAGGTGCGTGTTTGTGTGTATTCAAAGAGGTGACTTTCTAATTTTCAGCCAACCTCTGTTCAGGCTGAAGTAGGACTGTAGACTTGTCAGAGTGGAATTGGAGACAGGTTAAGGCCCTGGAGGATGCTGTAGGCGGGGCTTTGTTCAATCCAATCCAAAGTTTTCCCAATACATATTATAACATAAGTCCACTTATCCCCAACCTAGCCTAGTAATTGACCGATGCATGCTATCTCAGCTCTGTGCCTTGCCCCTGGTTGCCATCCGGCCTTCCTCTCCTTTCTCTCTGGGTTGAGTTTGTTGCCAAAAAGAGCCCAGCCGGAGGGAAGAGGAAGACACTCTGTTCTGAATGTTGCACATTTCTAAGGTGGGGGAAAGGGAGACAGGAAAGCTTGGTTTTCCCTGGAAAGATATGAACGTGAACCCCCGAGATCCTGAGCTTCTCTAATCAGGACTCAGAGCCAAAAAGAAAAATGTAGAAATGGACTTTTGGCCTCCTGGTTTCCCTCTCCTTCCTCTACCCTTTTTCAGAAAATGAGTAAAAACGGGGAAAGGCGGGGCAGGTCAGCGTGATGGACCGGGTGCTTTGTTGTCTGGAGTCCCCAAATTCAGCCAGTGCCTGACACACTCTGGCTTATTAAAGGACGTTGAGCTGTAGACTGGGCGGGGTGGGGGGGGGGGGAAGGAGAGGCACGACCGCCGAGAAATCCGCTCACAGCTGTTCGAAGGCGGGTCTTCCTCCTTAGTCTCCCCCTCATCAGAAATGTAACAAAGTTACCTTGCTTCACCCCAATACTCCAGCGGGGTGCTGACCATGGTAGAAAACTTACACCGGGGGCCAGGACAGTCTTGAGTACAGTCGATCGATACTTGCTGGCCGCTTGGACAGAGGAAAGCCAGAAGTAAGACTTAAAAATAGCCGACTCATCCTTAGTCCTACTCTCCTCCCTTGCCCTGTCCTATACCTCCCCCAGACTTGGGCTGACCTGATCCCAGAACCTATTGGAACTGTCCCCCCGCCCCCGTCCTTACAAGTCTGTGTGTGGAGGCAGGGGGGTCCTACAGTTATACTTAAAAATACCCTCTGGAAGGAGGGAATGGGTAGGAATGGGGAGGGGGCCTTGGGAAAGAGATTTTTTTTCCAAAGAAAGGGCGAAGAAAAAAAAAAAAGGTTGAATGAGTGAATGTGTCAGGCTCAGGGACCCAGCGGAATCCCAGATCAGGGTCCCCCCCCCCAACCTTCCTGCCGGGCCCCCGCTCTCCTCCCTCCCTCCACTGCGAGCAACGCGGGCTCCGGAGGGAGAGAAGGGGCAGGAGATTTAAAAAAACAAAAAAACCAAAGAAACCCCGAAAACAACCCCTCCAATCTCCAAACCTTCTTCCTCATCTCCTTTCCCCCACCCTTTCCCCCGACCTATTTCAGCAGGTAGGGGGCGTCCCACCCCCCCCGCCCCCCAGGCGGGGGAGCCGGGGAGGGGACAGCACCGGATACACGGGGAACCCCGGCCCCGGGCCCAACGGGGCTGGGGGCATCTAAGACGGCCCCGGGTAAGCGGCCGAGTTGGCCGGAGGGTGGGGGTGAGGGCGGGGGAGAGGATGCCGCTGTGGGAGGGAGCGCACCAGGTGTGAGCCAGCAGTTGTGGGGGGGGGGGGTGGGCATACTGGGGGGGGAGGGCCAAGGACGCTGGGGCGGAGGGGGGGGGGTGCGATGAGCTGGGGAAACTCTGCGCTGGGGCCACGTGAGAGGGTTGTTGTTTGGGGTGGAGGGGAAGAGAGATGGGGTGGGGGGTGAGAGTCTGTGGGATGTAGAGAAGCAGAATTGGGGAAGCTGATCGCCCTGGGAAAGGTGATGGGGAATGTCGCTATAGGGAGGTAGAGGATGCAACTAGGGACTTCTCCATCTCCTGAGCTACTGCCTATATGAACTAGAACCTGGCTCCCTCATGCCTGGGCCCCTGGTCTTGAGGCCAGGACCAGGGCACGTGAATGCCTCTGCCAAGGTTTACCTACACCCAAACGTGCATAGCCGGACTGGGGCACACCCTGTCTAGCCCTCACCTTCCTTAGGTGCTCAAGCTACGGGTCTTCAGGGAAAGAGATCCTAGCCACTCGGTCAATTTCTTTCTTTCTCCCAGGGCTGATTGCATTTCACAGGCCTTGGGAGAGCTTGCTGAGGTCTCAGTCCTGTTTTTTCAGACTGCAGTCTTCTCCCCCATTCCTCTTTCTGGGGGCTGGGATTGAACTATTTGAGGGTAGAAAGGCATGGTATTGCAGGATGGTGGGCATTGCCTTCCCCACTCTCCAGCAGGGTCCAGCATAGTGATGGCAGTAAGAGGCAAAGCACTGTGGCTAGATCAGACCTGGGCTTCCTGGGAGAAGGCCTAGGGACTTTTTCATTCCCCCTCTTCCCCCAGCCCCATAGTTCTGCCCTGCTGTAGTGGCTCTTTCCTTCCCTGCCCCCAAGAGAATGCCTGCATTTCTGATCTGACAGTGTGGATTGGGGACATAGTAATCAAGGCACAAAAGCAGGCAGGGCCTATCTCGAAACCAACCAGGAATAGCCAGTCCTGGGACAGTCTGAGTGTCTCCCCTCCAGCTTCAGGTCCTGTGCTGTGTGGCAAAAGCAGCCAGGGCCCTTAGTGCCTCCTCTGCAGCCACAGTTATTCACTCCTTTCACAGGATTGCCTTCAGTCCTGGGGATGGTTTGTTATGTAATTAACCTAACAGAAGCTGCTCGCTGCCCAAGCTGTAGTGCCCTTGAGTGTCTGGGTCTGGAGAAAACATGTGGAATTGTTCTGGAGGAGGAGAATGATGTGGGCAGATTTTAACAGCTGGTTGGCCCCTCCAACTTGAGTGGGATGAGGTTTGAAGCACCCATGTGTATGTGAAGAGAATAGGCATCCACTGAGAACACACATAGTAGTCAGGATACCCTGCAGGCTTGCACTGACTCTCAGGAATCCTCTAAGGGGACATCCAATATGGATCTATAAGAGCTGCTGTGCTTGCACTAACCAGGCACCACCAAGCATAGAAACAGATGTAGCCATGGAAAATACATGTGGAGGACCTAGATGGAGTTCATCTGAGGTTCTCCCTGGTTCTCTCCTTGTGTAAAGCTTAGAGTAGGAAGAGGAAAGGAATGGGAGTTTTTTTTTTTAAACCCAGAATGGGTAAGATGGGGATTTTACCAGGACATAGGGGCAGATAGGTGGCACAGTGGATAGAGCCCAGGGCCTGGAGTCAGGAAGCACTGAGTTCAAATCCAACCTCAGACACTTAATAGCTATGTGATCCTGGACAAGTCACTTCACCCTGTTTGCCTCAGTTTCCTCATCTGTAAAATGAGCTGGAGAAGGAAATGGCAAACCACTCCAGTATCTTCACCAAGAAAACCCCAAATGGAGTCACGAAGAGTTGGACACGACTGAATAACAACCAGTACGCATTTGAGTCAGGTATCTTGCCCCTGCAGGCCTGCCGGAAGCCGTGGAGCAGAGGCCGGCAGGGACAGCAATGGTCATTGCTGACGGTGGCTGAGCCCCCAGCCCCTGGAATATGCAGCCCGGGAGGTCCTCCGGAGGCAGCGGCGAGGACGCGGAGGCGGAGCGGGGCCGAAGGCATGGTCTCCACCTATCGGGTGGCTGTGCTGGGGGCGCGAGGCGTGGGCAAAAGCGCCATCGTACGCCAATTCCTTTACAACGAATTCAGCGAGGTCTGCGTGCCCACCACTGCCCGCCGCCTTTACCTGCCCGCAGTCGTCATGAACGGTCACGTGCACGACCTCCAGATCCTAGACTTCCCGCCCATCAGCGCCTTCCCTGTCAACACGCTGCAGGTAGGAAGCGAGAGTGGCTAGTTTGTCTATGCGGGGGGGCCTGATATGTAGACTCCGCCTTCCATTGTGCTCGACCCCCACCCTAACTTCATTGACTGCTTTCATTAGAGTCCACCAAAATTGGGGTTCCAGTCCCCAGACTGCATGTTAGGAGTTGGGCAAACCCACTTTTGTCTGGTCTAAATCCCCTTTTAAAGATAGAGAGGGCTGTTGTGTGCAATGAATAAGATCTGTAAAGGGCAACTATTATTAATGACTTACCCCAAATTGCACAAGTAGTAAATGGAACAGGATTTGAACTCAGGCCTCAGACTCCATCCAATACTAGCATTTTTCATCACTACACCACATTGCCTTTCCTTGTCCAACCTCCTCATTTTACAGGGGAGGAAAGTGAAACCTAGAGTGAGTTGACCAAGTTAAGCTAATAGTAACAGGGATAGGAACTGGACCTATAATTGCATTGACCTAGGGAACTAACTCCCTCTCCCAATGCTGGTCCTCACCTCTGCAGTTTATGTCTTACAGAGTTGCCCGGAACACTTAGAGGTTGTGATTTGCCCAAGATTGAAAAGTCAGTAGTGAGACTTGAATCCAAGTAATCAGTAAGTCAATCTACATTTATCAAGTGCATACTATGCACCAGGCATGCTGCTAAATGCTGGGGATGCAAAGAAAGATAAAAGACAGTTTCTGCTCTCAAAAAACTCACAGTCTAATGAGAGAGAAACATGCACATAGCTATTTACAAACAAGCTATGTACAGGATAAATGGGAAATAATCAACAGAGGAAAGGTATTAGAATTAAGAGGGATCAGGAAAAACTTCCTTTAGAAGGTGAGATTTGAGCTGGGACTTGCCTCTGTAATAATATCATTTCTATAGTGACTTAAGGTTTGCAAAGCAATTTACACATATGTATAGTTGCTTGTATATGTATACATATATAGAAATACATATTTGCACATATGTATTTTACATATTTGCATATTTGCCTATTACCTCATTTGATGGTAATAAGTGAAGGTTAATAATAGGTGAGCCTTGGAAACCAGAACTCTAGAATTTTATTTTGGCTATGGAACTTTGAAGGTATCTCAGTTTCTTCTTAGAGGCTAATTCCTGACCAACTTCTAATCCTCTCCTGTTTTTGAAGAGAGGTAGCAATGGACATTTCTTCAAAGTCGGGAAAATAGGAAAAGGCTTAGAGCCTCATTCTTCCACTTGAGCAGCAAGACAGTAAGAGGGGTCAAGAGCTCCAGAGTAAGAGCAAGCTGGCTATGGTTAGCAGTAGAGGAGCCTGGATTCAAACCCAGGTCATTTAATTTCAAATTCAGTGCTCTTTCCACCCTGATAACACTGCTTTCCTGGTCCTTTTTCTTTTTGCCCTATCCCAGACACTTTCCCACTCTCCTGGACTCCACTGAGAATGATGTTAGGGAATCCTCACTTCATAGCCCTGGCTTCTGGTGACAACATCCTCCAGGGTTTTGAGTCCAGATCTCTCATTTTCTGCTACTTCCCTCATCCCTTCTGGGACAAGTTATACCTGTCCCAACCAAACTCCCACAGGAAGGGAGATAATGAATGTGAAAGTAGACCTTTATATAATATGTAAGCTATTATTAGTATTGGGACAGAGCTATGGTGCAGGCTTGTTCATTAGGGAAGTCTTACAGCTCTGCAGACAGTTTCTAGAAGTCATTGGAGAAAAATATGAGGACACAGTGGGGTCACCCAGCATGCAGAGGACTGAAGGACTGGCTCATAGCAGCAACCTCTCTGACTAAAACTGCAGAGGTTAGGATGGGGAAACAAAGAGATAGGTACCCAGAACTCATTCCATCCACCCAAGTCAGTAACCAGGGCTTATGGCAGTCAGGTTGGTCTCATAACCACTATTATCTCTGCATTTCCATCAGCCAGGATGCCAGTGCCAAGGACACAAGACAGAGTAGATAAAGAGTTTCAACCAGGGCAAAGCCTGAAGAATGGTGGTGGTCAGCGGCTGAAATAAGGAGTGTGTAAACAAAAACTTTTAGTCCACCTCTTGAGGTTGAAGAAGACTGTTGTCTATCGTCAGAGTGGCCAGCTTGATCTTACTCTGAGGCTCTCGAGCCCTCTTATTGTCTTGCTACTCAAGCAGGACCATGAACCTTTCCTCATTTTTGGACTTTGAGGAGACATCTTTTGCTACCTCTCTTCAAAAACAGGAGAGGGTTAGAGGTTGGTTGAGAATTAGCCTTTAAGAAGAAACTGAGGCATAGATGCACTGTCAAAGTTCCATAGCCAAAATAAAAATCTACAGGTCTGGTTTCCCAAATCTCTCTCTCTCTCTCTCTCTCTCTCTCTCTCTCTCTCTCTCTCT